AAAAAAAAAAATCCAGACTATACCAGGCAAGAGAGAAGGGTTAAACATTCACCAAAACAGAAGCACAATCTGAACTATGCAAGTGGGGAGAAGCATTTGGATACCTTTTCCTAGAAAATGTATGCTAGCATCTGGGCTAACTGCACAAACGGAAGCTGAGCTTCCACAGCAGAAGGCTGTCACGCATCTGGTGATCTAGCTACCTATTTCACAGTTTTGATATATACCAAGCAACAGCTCACTGCCTCCTGCAAGAATTTTGGTTAGCCAAGCAGAGGAAAACATCTGGCACAAGAGGCAAGAGTTAATGGCACACATTACAATTGCATACAATGACACCCATGCTTGTTCTCCTTGGATCCTTAAATTGGATCAGACACAACAAAGTCAATCTGGCTTGGTCAATGAGAACAAGTTTAGACAAAATCAAAAACCCTTCTACATCTCTAGGTACATAATATGGGAAATATTTGAGATGCTACAGGTCAGTGGCATAGCCCAATGTATTTTAAAGGGTCATCGCTACTTTGCCCTTTCTACTGGCTTGAATCTCACCAGATGCAATCGCATCCCCTTGCAGCTGGAACAAAGCCATACCCTGCCCCACGCTAAACAAGTACCTTGGTTTTACCCAACTGCCATTCTTTCTTGCTGCTGTCGTAGGTCTGAAGAAAGCCTGCACATACAGCTTTGCTGTTGTCTGAGAAACTTGGCCCCTTCACAAGCATCTTGTACCTAAGAACCAAACAAAACCTCATGAGATAATGCATGATAGTAACCTGCCCCATTCCCCGCCTTCCCCCCCACCAATCTTTTAACTCTAATTATCCTCCTCCCATTAGTCCTTCTTCCTCTGGGACCTCCCTTCTTCGTGTTTGCCTTCCAATTTGGAAATTTCCATCCCCCAGCCTTTATCTGTTCCTACCACACTGGCAATTATTGTTGCAATCCCAGTAACAAAATACAAACTCAACAGCATTTTTCAGTAAAGAACAACTGTCTTTCTGAAACATGTGCTTTCATCAGACACAAGTTATTTTGTTCAGTATAGGGGTGGCATTTCATGCTCCAAGAGACAAAGGAAGCAATGTTCAATGGTCCCTTCTAGCCTTAAATTTCAAGAAATCCTTTTGATGCAGCTAATTAAAAGAAATGATCATCCTTTCCAATATTAATCGACTATACTGTCCATTAAAATTTGCTTCAGCCTACCAGATTAAAGGTTTTAAGTATGATATTTTCTTTTTACATATTATGACCAGCTGGGTTTCACAGCATCACACAAGGTAATCTGTGGCAAAGCTACAAAAAAAAAAAATTAAAAAACAGACCATATGGCTGTTTTTCCATTCTGACTTTTACCCTAAGGGCAAGTCTCCAAAAGGATTTCCAAATCAGTCTATAATATGGGCAATAAGGGCATGGTTAGAAGAACATCCCACAAGTGATCCATATCAGTAACAGCAGTTATAGAGGGAACAATCATACAGAATCGTATACCTTGGGGCTGTTACAGCATGTGGTACAATGATAGCAATTACCTGCTGAGAAAGTCCTGGAAAAGGCGCCGTATAGGGAAACCTGCTCTCCGAACTTTCACTGTCTCCAGCATCCCTGAGTACCGGAGCTGGTTTAGCACCACATCTGGATTGAAGAGGTTCGGTGCCTACATAATGATCCAGATTCAAAAACAAATACGAAGACAGACAGAGTAAGTGTTGATCTTGGTATTACTTCTTTGCTGACTTGAACAGTGACTGTTTCTCTGAGCACAGACAGTCACAGGCTGTATATCCATTTCTCTGTAGAAAGTCAACCCTGCATATGTGGGCATGCCAGGTGAAAAGGGGGAAGTTTAGGTCAAGGGGAAAGCAACCTCACAACACTGCATGGTGCAGAAAAAGGGACGGAAGGGAGTTGGGCAGATCCTGGAAAAAAACAATCCACAGACTGCTGTGATAGTTAGATCATGGCAGTAAAGCAATGATATAATGCATTAACATATACAAAATGCAGAATCCTGACTCAGTTCTCTTTTCTGGCATAAAACTCCTATCAGGCTTTACTCTGCCATATCATACGCAGTTTCAAAACACACCAAGAAAATGATCAGTTCAGAGCTCCCCACCCAATCTAGTTAGCAGCATATCCTCCCACTACAGTTCACAATACAAGCGAGAGCCAGCCTGTCTCTAAGCACTGTGACTTGCTCATGAAGCGTCCACCTCTTCTGCCTCAGAGCCAGGCAGACAATTCCTACTGCACAAGCCCTGCATTCCAGAACAAATTGTCTACAGGCACCAGAAACAGGAGCAATTGCTTCTTCTACCACAGCTCTGGGGTCTGCACAAGCCTGGTTCATCTTCCAGGCTCCATAAGCACAGAAATATGTGGGAATGGCTATATCATACCATACTCAGCATGCAGTCTTTTCATCTGATTACCAGGAGGAGGGTGTATTTTTCCTCAGCTATAAAACAACTAGAAGGAAAAAGGGAAGGTGAGGGAATTTGGACCCTGACAGAGGCTCCTGTCAGGCATTTGTGCAAGTGAGTGCTCATGAAGGCCTGTGTTGCATGCATACATTTTGCTGGAAGCCAGACTTGCCTTTTCTGTATTTGGTTTGATGCAGCGGATGAAGAATGGATTGGAAGTACTAAGCGTGGCCATCAGCGAATGGAGAGAATCCTAAAAAGCACCAAAAAAACCCCCAAAGGATCAGTCACTACAGGAGGGAAAGGGGCTACATTTGATGCAATAGGGTCTTCATGCAGCCCTCCCATTCCACATGTCCTTTGACTCTGCCTACCAAAACTTCAGTAACCCAGGAGATCCCTTCCTGTCCAAAACATATCCACACAGTTAGTTTACTCTAACACTGTGTACATGGTCATCCTTGTTCTCAGAGCTCTATAGCCAATGTGAGTTATTTTTACAAGTCTCTCAAAGTTTAAATATAGGAAGCTAAAACTTTGAAACTAACCGAGGGTTTGCCGACAGTCTAGGGGGGGGCAAGATTCATACCTGCAAGGTCCCCCCAATAAGGTTTCATTGGAATTGCCACTATGCCTGTAAAAGATGTGACCTAAAAGGACACATATACTTAGCTGAAACACCAAACCAACATGAAAGATCAAAGAACCTCAAGAACTTCATATACTTAGCAAAATATTCTTTTCCTCTGCCACCCTGCTCAGTCTTAGCATCTCACATTTTACACTAGACAGAAATCCTTGGGGCAGTGGCACTTTCTCTTTTTAGCACTACAGCATTCCTGCACATTTTCAGTGCTGGACACAAAACAAGGATGAATGACTCCTCTTGGCTGTAGGCCTTGCTTTACCCATCTGCTCCTCCCCAGAAGCCTGCTGCTCTCTTGGAAAACATCCTACCCTGAACTGGGAACTGACAGTCGGTCTGCGCCTCTGGGTGCCCATCTTCAGTGTCTCTTCACTGCAACGACTGCAGACTCTTTCAAAAAGGTCATAGATGAAGTCCAGCCTAAGGGAGAAGAAAAGAATTAAAGAAGATGCAAGACACCCACCACCTGTGAGAAGATGGCTCCCATTCTCAGCTACTGCCCTGTCCCAGGGCGAAACACCTCATTTTTACTCCTGCTGTGCCACAGGGTGGCTGCAGGAGGCAGTTCACCTGGGCACTTCAGTGAGGAAATGAATACTTTCCATGTGGATGCCCAGACCCCGTGGGCTGCCCAGGATGCCACACTCAGCTGCAAAGCCAGAAACCCCATCTCACACTGTCAGGCAGGATATTACACAAAGGAAGGCCTCCATTCTGCACTGGCTGTGACACCTCCCTCGAGCTATATGCCCCCAGGTGCCACTGCCTTGAAGGTACTCCAGCTAGACTGTGTGCTGTCACACCCGTCCCGACCTAGCTCTCATGGCTAGCACCCATGACACGCTCATGCAGTTGCAACTACAGCCCTTCTGTGGCCAGAGGACTTCTAGAGCTACCCTCAGTGTAGGTCAGCTCTGGGGAATCTTTCACCATTTTGCCACTTCTTAGACAATGGTGCTGGTTCTTATGAAGTTGCACGAAGTTCTCCAGCGCTGCTTGTGCCAGTTTATTATTATGACTGCTTTTAGCAGAATTTCCCTTTCTGGCTTGTCGAAAAACCCTGAGTCCTTCTATTATGCTGGACAATGACGACCACAATTCTGGCTTCAAGCCCTGTGTAAAACGTTCCCCAGATGCCACTGTCCAAGTAAGGCAGCTACGAGCAACTCATACTCTCAGCTCCCTCAGGTTGTTTCAAGGCTGCTCACAGTGCAAACTCTGCAGCAGGCTTGAGAGAAGATGCAGTTCTGAAACAGTCTCATCAGGCTGGAGCCCAAGGGCAATACATGGACTGTGGTAAGAGGCATGTGGTAGAGTTGCTACTCAAAAACTTCTAGGGTCCGCCATGTTATTAAATGCCTCTCCTTCTACTAGGCCCCTCCTCTGTCTTCCAGACCTTGCTCAAGGTCAAAGTCAGCTCATTTCTCTAGGGTCATGTTGCAGCAGTGGGATATAGTATTAGGGGCCATGCTTAGTCCCACAGCAAGGGCTCAGTCTGGCTCAGGATAAGGATGGAAGCTCTCCACCAACAAGCAGGCTGGAAAACAAGCAGCCTCTGTACAAAGGCTGGCATTTAACAGCATGGCAAAGAGCCTTGATGCATTCAGGGGCAAATTTGCCATTGTTAGGACAGGGAGGTAAGAGGAAGAAGAGGAAAGGGAGAAGAGAGGAGGGAGAAATCAGCATTGCCTGGAGGGATTTCAGTTATGCTTTTATAGCTCTTTTCAAAACTGGGACAACAACAGAACTGATTAAATCTGTGCCTCATCTGACTTCTCCAGCTCTCCTTTCTTTTGCCAGGACACTTAAGCACAAAGAGAAGAATGATAAAGAATGATGCCTGATGCTCAGACAAAAGCAACTGCTTTCCTTGGCCTGGTTATTACATGAACGTGGCTTAGTCCAGCTCAACAGATGTGGTCTCCTCACAAGCATAAGGGGGGCATACCTGCTGTCTTTCAGCATGTTTAAAACGTCATCTCGGAAGGTATCTCTGTTCTTCTCCAGAAAGCCTCTCACATCATATAGCACCTGCAACGCAGACAGAGCCACTAGAACAGTGCCGTACAAATCATTAAGCACTTCTACATTAACATGCCAATGCACAAGACCTCCAGCAGAGCTACACAGTAAGGCTGCAGGCATGTGCCAAGATCCAGATTTTGGGGGTCAAAGAGCTCCAGAGCTCTGCAGTTACTGGCAAGAAAGTGGCTTTTAGCCATGAATTAAAAAAAATTCAAAAAACACACACACAAAAAAATCAAAACCGGGAGCAAAGTGAAACAGCTGCAGAGATTTGCCTGGGATGTGTGTGGGGGGAAATCCTCTGCAAGGTGTGAGATACTCCACTCACTTCAGGGAATACTAACTATGCCACCCAGCGCCCTGACCTCCCAACAGCTACTGCTCAGCAGATACGATTCTAGGAGGAGGCTGGCCCTTCTGCAGTGTGCAGGTGCCCTCCCTTGACACACCTCCATCTGCTCCATATCTCTCCACAACAAAGAGCAGCATTTAACCTTGAAGGCTTGGAGACCTTTTCTTTTTTGCAACAGGTATTCAGCTTTTTCTACTCCTCCCCAAAAGTCAAATTTTCCTTGTGACTTTTACTTTGGGTTTTGTTTGTTTGTGAATGTTGAAGAAAAGACAACATGAATAACAGAAGGAGGAGTTTATGCCCCAAACCAAAAATTACCTGAGAAGCTCAAACAAACGTCCAAGCTGGAGAATATAGTACTGGAGAATGACATGCTATATTAAGCCATCACACTCCCTGTGCTCTGGTGCGGAAACACACTGCTCTGAGAGATGTTCTTGATTTTTGGAGTCTAAAATCCAGGACCTCAAGCCCAAGGTACACTAAGTATCTCACAGATACACCGTGAACACCTACCTCCCCAGCATAATGTCTTATGCCAAACTGATGGTCTGTTACCCGAGGCTTCACATAGTAGTGGTTGCTCTGAAATGAAAGAAAAAGAAGTCTTCTTGTAATGCCAGTGTAAGAATAAATAGGCTCAGTCAGGAACTCTGCCATGACTATGACAACGCTGGGATGGGCAAGGACCTTAGCTGTTGCAGAGCCCGACCACATCTGCTGCAGCTATCTGCATTATATATATATAACATTACAAACATGTTATTCCAGTAAGATGGAAAAATCCAGCCCTTCAAGGCATTCCTCATGTGAGCAAGGGCTTGCAGAATCAAGGTTGGGCAGGCATGCCATGGATGAAATGTTAATTCTTGAGTGTCTGACACCTGAGGAGACTGGGCTCCACACAAACCATGTGGTGCAGGATACGGGATCAGGATGAAGGGAAGATGGCAGCTTTGCAGAACACCTATACATCTTTCTTTGTCAAAGGAAATATCATACCAATCTCTTTTCTTCCTCTATATTTCACCTTTCTTTGTACCTCTCTTCCCCTTTTTTCAGTATTCATTTTTTCTCTCTCTTACTAGCTGTTCTATTCTCTCATTTTCCCTCTCTTTTCTTTGTTGTATGAAAACCATTAACTACGTAAGAACAGCCATGCTGCTTGAGACCAACGGTCCATCCAGCTAAGTATTCTGCCTCCAGCAGTGGCTATGTAGTGTAGAGTAAGAACAAGGCAAGTAAATGATACTTTCATCCTAATACTCTCTCAAACTCCACTTATTTTCATGAGATCTGCCTAACTAGTAACCCCTAGTGGATTTCTCTTTGAAATCCTTGCCCATTCCACACCTGAACCCATGCAGACTTCCTGCATCCAGAGTGTCCTTTTGCAGGGAGCTCTCCACCAACTGCACAGGGAACCACAGCTGGTTGGTTTTAAGCCTGGCTCCCATTAGTGCCATTTGTCTTTTATGGGCCATGTATGACTTTTAAACCCATCACATCCCCCCTAAGTCATCTTTTCTCTACATTGCAGGGTCCCTTCAACACAGTTTTCTGTAACACTGAAGCTGTCCCAGACCTGTTGTTTACCAGATCTGATATAACCCCTTCTGGGGTGAAGGGGCCCAGTGCTGTACACTGTTCAAAGTGCAGGTGATCCATGGATTATACAGTGCCATAACAATGTTTTCTGCTTTTATTCTGTTTCTTTCCTAGGAATTTCTAATACTTGATCTGGGTTTTTTATTACTGCTGAGCACTACACTGATGTTTCCATGGAACTATCCATCACAGCCTCTGTCTGGGTCTTGCTCCTGAAGAGCAGCAATCAGCTCAGGGCCCATCATTTCAAATGTGAAACTGGGACTGTTGTCCTTCAGGCACACCATTTTACATTTATCTACACTGCTTTTCATCTTCATTTTACAACCCAATCAGTCTCATAAGACCTCTCACAGTCCAGCCTTGCCCTGTGAATCATCAGAAAACTGCCACCTCAGTGCTTGTACGGGACAGAGTCTTACAGACCTCCCTCCATTGAGGTAACTGACCGTTTACGTTCTGTGAATTTGCCCAATAGTGAAAGAAGGATTACAGGCCTATAATTTCCTAGAATACTTTCTAAAAATTAAAATAATTTCCCACCTTCTCAGATACAAGTACTTAGAAAATTTTAAGTAAGATGTTGCGCAATACTGTTAGTAATTCAGCTCTTTCATCTTCAAGTTCTCTTCGCAGTATTGGGTGGATGGCTTCTGACCCTGATAATTTGTTAGTGCTATTGAAAACTTTTTCATTGCCTTTTTTCCTTTTCAGATCGACCCCATTTCTTTGCTCTTCCCTTTCCCCAATCCAGTCATCTTTTTCCAGCCACAAACTTCCCTCTCTTCCACTCCAAACATGACTGTTACCAACTCTCTCATGTGGATTAGCACCCTCCTCTCCTCTCCTCTCCCTCTCTACCAAGCCCATATATTTCCTCCATGCCTACACCACTTCTGGTTCCTTCTCCCATCTCCCCTATTGCTCCTCTCCCCACTTGTATCAGAGATCATATTCTCTTAAATCCCAGCTCTATGCTTTTCCTCCTTAAGCCTATTGCAATCCACAGAAAACACAGAGAAGAGGGCTAGTTCTCTTATAAGGTCCTTCAGGCTTTCCAGCAATGCTGGCTGGATGCCTTCCAGTGTTCTTCTGGCCAGCACTAGAGACTTTAACTGGTACAAAAAAACCTTTTGCCTTCAAAAAATGCAAACCCTAGAGCACTATCTAGTTCATCATTCCTCCTGGCACTCCAGCTCCTCATCCCCTTCCATCTCTCATAAGCTCCCTAGGGTTCCACATTAACTGCTATCCCCTCAAAGCAGACAGAGGTGACACTATGAACGGCTTAATGAAAAAGCTACTCAATGCACAGAAATCACCAAAAATAGCAACCAAGATGTTGTGGGGCATAAAGGAATGCAAAATAATACTGACAGCCTCATGCTGCTGTACAGTAGACCACAGGTACCTTCTTACCAAGGGAACTGCATTCTGGTCTGATTATTTATCTCAGAAAAAAATAGAGAAAAGATGTAGAGGAATTCAGAGACAAACAGCAGAAAGAAAGAGGAGCTTTGAAATTTCTCCATTTGGAGACAAACTGAAAAGGCTGGGACAGTTCAGAAAGAAAATTCAAAAGAAGTGAGGTATTAAAAATATTCATAAGTTCTATATTAAAAGTTAACAAAATACCAACAACAATAAAAAAGGTAAATCAGGCATTCTCATATACCTTGACCTCTAATACGAGGGAAAGCCACAGCGGACTAAATTGAAGGCATCAATTTAAGTCTAAAGAAAGGAAATATTTACACAAAACTATGCGTGAATAGCCAATCAGAAGTCATTGCTATTGTATCCAATTTGTAGGCATGAGTATTACCAGCAGAGTTAGACGCAAATATGAAAAATGAGAATATCTGCATCTATGCCAATTAAAAAAAAATTGTCGGATAAAGGACAAATTTGTATGTTTTCAGGCTTGGATGAAACCTGAATTAGAGGACTAGGAAACATATAAGCTGACAACGTTCTTACTAAAGTAGTAAATTATTCTGTAAGTCCATGCTACAGGGTTTAATTTGCTTTGTTTTCAGTCTGTTTGCTATTACGAACAACAGTGTTGGCTGTACCAGAGACAGGGTAAGAGATTGCTACAGTGATCTCACTGTGGTTTCTGTGTCCCCAGGATAACTTTCTGACCTGCACAGAAAAGCACTTCTACTCCTGTGTCCAGAATACAAGAGGAGGAAAGAATTTAATTAATTAGGAACAATAAGAGAGCTTTCATTAAAAGTCATGAGGCAAAAGCCATCCCCAGCCCCAGGAGACAGAGATTTGCCGTGCTCTGGAGCAGGCTCCTGTGAGTCAGCTGGCAGGAGAAACCCATGCAAATTATGCAGCCGCATCCTGTGCCTGGGGTGCTGCCTCGTGTCCCATTGCAGACCAGCAGAACCTGGCCTCCACCCCACGCTACAAATTCAAATCTCCTTTACCCACAGCCTGTGGAAGGCACACTCCCTCTCTCTGTGTGCAAGAGACCACTTGCAGGTTTCTTCACATATTTTGTTCAGTGAAGCTTTATTAAACACTCGCATGTTCGGGCCTAAGGCATTTTAAATTTCCTGCACAAAGCACATATTTTACATCAACAAAACCTTCACTTTCAGTTTTGAAATGCTGATGGGGCTAACATACTGATCATTTGCCTGCCGGGTTGTTTTCTTACTTACCATATGCTGGCTGTGAAGTTTTTCCAGAAGGGTGTTGTCTGTGCCTTTGGGGAACCGACTCTCTTCATTCACCAAAGCCAGAAGACCCAGTTTCTACAGCCAAACAAGAGATGGGCTTTTACACTAAGCAAAAGCTCAAACTACACAGCACCAAGCCAAGAACTGGAGATCTGGACAGCACATTGAGCAATAGCCCCTGAGTTATACCCAGCAAAGCTTGAGCTGAAAGCAGAATTCTGGCCAGTCAATGCATTCAGCTAGCAGAACCTAAGTGGAGATTTTTTATAAAAAATTCACATTAAGGTTTTACTTAAATGCTGCTCCCTGTCTAAAACTATGACACTCTCCCTAAGCTTACTCTCAACAATGAGCAGAGATCTGCTTTCTTGAGCTGGGACTATGGCTACAACAGCTCATACTTTTGCCAGGCCACGATGGGAAGAGTATCTAAGCAACTACCTGTTTTTAAAACCAGGAAATCCCAGGGAAGGCCTCAAGACAATCAGCTGTCCCCACTGTGATTCCTGGAAAGTGTCACAGATAACTGCTTACCTTCTCGATAAGGTCCAGGCACTCTGCGTTATCCATCCAGTCAATGGCTTCCCAGTTTATCCCTTCCCTAACAGTAAAGAACAAACAGAACAAAGATGTGAAATGCAAGATCCAATGCCCTGCGGTGCAGGAGAACAGAAGCAGCTGAGCACAACAGCTGTCCCAGGACTCAAGACTATTTGCAGGAATTAGGCTTTGCCATGGCTGAAGAAAAAGAACAGGACACACAATACACTGCTAACACAAGGAGATGGAAGTAGGAGACAGCCTTTCTTATCCATCCCAGTGATTTAGACTGATGCTCATCTTGCAGTCATTGAGCAAATTCCACACCAAGCACTAAGAAATTGTAGCTGTTCTCAGTTGCTCTTTCAGGAGTGATGAGCACCAGCCCAAGTGGTGGTGATGATGGACAGTTTGCAGCTTCAAGAGTCAATTGCTGACCCACCAATCTGGAAAGCAGGCCTGAAGCGCATCTGCCAGAAGACTGAACCACAATTGATAGGTCCACCGGAAGAAGAGACAGGAGAAACTTTTCAGGGAGAGTTTTGAAGAGGATGACACAGAAAAGATTTGGCCTGACATGCAGGGGACCTACAGGGTGGCCCTGCATCTTTCAGAATGGGAGCTGATGTAGGTACAGCAGTGCGATAAGCATGCTTTGAAAATCCTCCATGAAATTCTGTAAATCTGTGCTGAATGTGTTCTCCCCCCTCTTACCACCTTCTTATACTCCCATAATACAGGCCATTTCTGTTTTCAGAATTCAGAGAAGCCTGGGAGTAACTCTTGCTCAGGAATGCAAGGAAGACTACAGCCTATGTGTGAAGCTACTTACTGCCATTCTGATACAGACACCTTTCAGGTGAAGGCTAATGTTTTGAAGATAGTGAAGCTGTTGCCTACAAACCCTTCGGCCTAGGCTTCGTACTTTCAAGTTCAGAGCATTCAGAAACCTGTGTGCAACAGTTGGAAGCAACAAACTGGAATAATTTTTGAAGAATGGAAAGAACTATCTACCCCCCACAGGGAACAGAATATCTTACCCACTTAATGACAAAAAGTATCAGTTTACAGTGTTTCAGATTTTTGCAACAATGGGTGTCAGAGAGGCCATATATTTTTACAAAAAGACCTCTTGGATTCCTTCTAAGAGCAAGAAGACCTTCCAGAATTGAAGGGAGCAGAGTTTCCTGAAACAAATCAAATCACAGATGAATCAAGTTGTCTCTAGTGCCACAGACCCCTTGTCTAATCAAATGATGAAATACATGGAGCTAGTTACTAAACCTGAGGAAGCAGAGCTGATACTGTGAAAGATGAGCTTTAATCACATCACCCTAGAATAACTTGATGAGCAGTCAATTATAAAATTCTCTTGTTCTTTCCAAAGTTCAGCCACAGAACTTAAACTCGTATGTAATCATCAGGAAAAAAATCTTTTGTCACGATGATACCATTCTTAACACAAGCTTCCTGCAATGGTGGAATTGGCCTGAGAAATGAGTGCATAAATAGCCTTGCAGTTTTGTAATCTTTAGAATTTCATGAATTGCCTATTCAACTGTCTCCCTTTACAAGGCTGCTCTCATCTGCCCTCACTGACCCTATTCAATTGCTTCATTCACAAACATAAAGGCTTCTGTTTCAGACCAAGAACTTAAGTATTTGTCTAGCAGCCTCCTCTAGAAGCAGAAACACTCTAGAACATCCCAGGTACTTCACAAAATACAATCCAATATGAAGCCCACAAAAGAGAAACAGCTGTGCAGAAGGTCCCATGATCTTTAAGCTCAGGAAACAGCCTGATTTAAATCTCCTTGCTGAGGAAAAAAAGCCCTTTTCACAGCGTAAGAATCTCTAGGACAGAAAGAGCTGTCGGATATCTGTCCGTCTATCTTTAAGGACTTTATTTTTTGCACACCAAGATTCCACCCGCATAACACCACCACTACCTTAGGTAAATCATTACTGAAGTCAGTAATAAGGCCAGTGACCATGTGTTCTAATGGGTTAAAGCCCAAGATCTTCCCATTCAGCTGAGTATTAGAAGGGAATATTTTGTTTGGAGACAAGTGACCTATGCTGGCAAAGCCCATGGACAGTGCTTACAGAGACACATCCAGAGTCAGGGTTGCACTAAGGCCCAGCCGCCTCTCCTGCCTTAGTAGTAGGGACTGGAGAGCATGAAGGAGGAATGATGTCCTTCATTCTACCACCCATGAAAGCAATAGGGGGCCACTCCCTCCATTTGTCACCTGTTGTACTCCAGCTGCTCCAAGGAGAAGATGTGTTTGTTGAAATACTCCTGGAGTTTCTCATTTGCGTAGTTAATGTTAAACTGCTCGAAACGATTCACCTGTAATAAGAAACAAAGATTATAAAACTTAACATTCTTGTCCCTGGGCTCTAAAAGAATGTATAACAGCGATGGGGAAGGTGCCAGGCCTGGAATAAAGCCAGAGAGCATAGAGGCAAGGGGTGTCAGATGGACATGAGGAGGACAGCATGGGGAGGTCCACTAGGAGAACAGCTTTTGTAGCTCATGCAAGGTTAATTCAGTAGGCCTGAATGGTAGTAAAGGATGCTAAAGACAATCAAATTTCTCTTCTTCTTAGGAAGAAAGAAATATAATTCCCTAAGTGTTAGGTCACTGGGCTTTCTCTTCGGTGAAATATCTGAGCAGTCACTATACGGCTGCTCAACGTACATCCCTCATCAGTTGCAATCAGAAGCATTACACACAGGATTCTCAACACAAGGCAAAACAGATGTAATCAAACAACGTGCACGTAGGAGTTGGACACTTAATTTGTATACAAGTTAAAAATTCAATATTACCTATCACAGCACATCTGCTTAAGGTCTGTGTGACAAACCAGATCTTGAACATCAGCCTACATGAATACAGGTGGCAGAAACTGGCAGCTAAATATATCTTGCTGCTCCCAGAGGGAAGAGGCAGTGGAGAAATCCCAGAATGCCCTATGCTAACCTAAACAGGACAGAAACCTACCAAAATTCCTTCCTATATGCACTGACATCTCCAAAACCAACCCACCCTGCAAAAGACAAAATCCTGACCTGAAAGTTCTCGAAGCCAAAGATATCCAGGATGCCCACAGACTTAAAGTTTTCCTTGCCTTTGATCTTCGTATTAATCTTGCTAATGAGCCATGAAAAACACTGGGAATACAGTGCCATAGAGAGGGAGTCCCTGGAGTCAGCTGCCTGTAAATGGAGAGAGAAAAAATGAGTCACAGAGAGAAGGCATAAGGGGCACCACGAATCTCTATGGGACTTCAGGTTCCTCTAGTCCTCTTTAGATGTCTCAGCCTCTGTACTGGTTGTGCATAGTGCAGTATTTATCTGTACAGTCAACATTCCAGTGTGCAAATAGCCCAGCCACACACAGATGTACCACATATGACCTTTGGGTAACTGAACTTCAGAGGCTGAAGGAAGCAGCGAAATCACTGACATCTTTCAGAGCAAGTGCTGGGGCAGGGAAGGTGGCAAAATACCTCATGACTGAGCCTGCAGCAGTCATTTGCATCACCTGAGCGAACATTTGCAGTGACAGGCAAGGTATCTCGGTTCAGTACTCCCAGTAGACCTGTCAAATGGGCATCCGCTCAGTTTTTCAAAAACTGGTAGGGCAGGATTTAACAGAGTATTCTGTCACCAAGTTAGCCTCAAAAATCCCTTCTGCAAAACTTTCCTGCAAACAGCATTATCTTACTGGAAGCCAGGGTAGGCCGGCCAACAGCCAGGACACATGCCCCAGAAAAGCATGGGTTGAGAGACCTTTCTGGAGCTGACCCAACATCCCATGCAGTGATCATAACCAAGTGTCAGAAGTGGAAGAAGTAACTTAAATTGTGATCGCTAACAGGCAGTAGATAAGTGGGTGCATGTAAGTGTGTGGATGAATGTCTGAAATTTAACTTTTGAAATCTCAAGCAAAAGCCTGCTACTTGATAGCTGTAACAAGAATGGTCTGGTTGTAAGTTTTGATAACACTTGGACTAAACAAAAGTGGCATGCCCCAAATCTCCAATTAATAGAGAGACATGAGACAGAACCACAAATTAAGAGGCTGATTGCATGCTGTCCTTCTGCACATACACTATTTAGACTGGGAAACTGGGGCTTAGGGTTCTGGAAAGAAGAGGAGGCCAAAAATAAGGGTTCCCATAAAGAAGACATGATCCCGGAGAGTAGAAAAAGGGGCCAGAAAAGAAGGCAGCAAAGATCTTGACTGCAAGAAAGATGCTGGAAGTGGGGAAAGATCCTGGAGATGAGAGACATGTAGAGACAAATTTCAGGGTGTGCCCAAGGACCTTGGCTGGTAGTTCCCGAGACTGGTAACTGCAAGGAGCTACACAACAGGAACCAACAAAACTTTCTGCCCGACCCTCCTGGGCAAGCAGCAATCTCCTTGCTGGAAAAGATGTTGACATCTAACGAACATAACACTGAAGGGTGAGTGAGCAAGTACGTGAAATAATCAAGTCGGGTAAAAACTATAATCTTGCCATTTCATAAATAAACCACAGTATCTAGATCAATTACAGGTTGTTTACTCTGTCTTGCCTGTGACACCAGGGTAATTCCTTCAGTAGGCCTGACCAGCAACGACAGAGATCTAAATGCACCCTCATCCTCTTCAGTTTTGCAAGCCTGAATAACGCGACCTCTCCTGTTCTGGTTTGCTAATGGCACAGGCCAACTGCCTCTGAATCCTCCCAGCCCCTCTCAGCAAGATCCTTGAGGCCCAGCCTGCAAGATCCTCCTTTTCACCCAATCTCACTGTTTTTCCCCTCCTTACTCTCCCTGGGTAGTATCTCCTCTTCAGCAGCCCAAGGCCTAGGACACACAGCAACCTCTCTTCTCCACAGAAGAGAACATTTCAAAGCATGGGCACACTTGCATTTTCTGGGTATTTCTTCTCTCCATCAGATGGTCTATCTTATTAGCTGGGACTGAGTATGCCCTCAAGGCCATGCCTCTGTAGTCTCTCTGGCTACACAGTAAGGTGGACTCATTTTCCAGGAACAGGACCTCCCCATCCAGCTGTAAGCAAAGCCGCTTTCCCCACAATATGGCTCAAATGAGATTCTCAAAGGCTCCTTTCATCCTCCCAGCTTTGCCCGCCTTCAGGCCAGTTCATCCATTCAGCCCACTGAAATGTCAAAGCTCAGGCGGGCAATGAGCCCATTATACAATGAGAAATCGCTGGCAGCTCTACCAATGTGTTCCTGCAACAACAAGTGGGAATAGGTGGGCACAGTACATGAGGGTTTAAGCAGGAACAGTTTTTACAGGCCCAGGGTTGAGTGCAACAGTTCACCTAGTGAAGACAGCTAAGTAGTAGCATCCGCTTCCTATAACAATTTTTCTGCAGTCTTAGTACTTCACTGGGCTGCAAGCAGTAAGTGTAGGGTCCAACATGCACACATGCCAGGAATAGCTATACTATCAGGGAAAGCTCTGTTCAGGGAGACTCTTGCAAATCCTACAACTGCGCACTGTTGCTCTGGACTGCGTGGAGTGCCTCTGGCATTGTTATCCATCCTTGTGCACTGATATAGAAAGATGTGGCTTATTTAGGACAGACAGCTGAGAAGAGGAACTGTGGTACTGGATACTGAGGATATCTACTACAGACTATAGGCTGAAACATAATTGTCACACAATTTTATTGCAAAGAAAGGTCACAGACTATGAAAAAAGATACCATTTCTTAAAGGCAAAGCTGAGTTTGTGATATATTAGCAGGTGTGTTCGCAGCAAGAAAAGAAGCAACTACTCTGCTGAAATGAGCACTGCTGAGACTTCAGCTTGAATAGTGTCCAGTTATAGGCACTCCACTTCTTGAAAGATGTGGGAAAACAGAGATAGAAGAAGAGGTTTAGAAAATTACTTATAAGGAAACACTGAAGGAACTGGATTGTTTAGTTTAGGAAAGAGAACACCACGCGAAAAACTTCACAGAAGCGGAAGCTCATAAGGTAGACAGCTGGGATGTCAAAAGTAATCTAAATATGAGGAAAATCTTTTCAGCTCCAGACTCCACTGCAGCTAGAGCAGGATACTTAAAGAGGCTGTGAAATTCCTTCCATGGGAAATCTGAAGACAGACATCCGTCAGAGAGAACCTAGTTACTCTGGTTTCTCTGCCAATGTAGGGGTTGGATTGATAACCCTCTGCAGTCTGTGCCAGCACAAAGATTTCCATTACAGATGTTCGTTTTGTTATAACATGATGCTTATTCTGTCCTAGTAATATTATTCCTTGTTTCCCAGTGTATTGCATTTTATTAATGACAGACGATTTTCTACGGTTATCTGTGCATGGGCCTAAAACATCAAGAGTGCCCTCAAGTGATCAGCAACACCACAAGTTAAAGTTAGTAGGCACAACACTGTAATGAACCACGGAGAAATATAACAGATAAGCAGGACTGGCTCCGGCATGCAGTACAGGTTCAGAAGATGGAACTACATATCAGTTTATTTGGTCCTCCTTTGCTGTTGCATGGATACACAGAGTTGTACAACAAAGGTTGTTACTGTGGGGTAACAACCTACCATCTGCCAGATGTTTCGGAGTAACTACGTGCAAGCTTTTATCTTGAGTAAATGCAGCGTAACCTGGGAGTTCTGCAAGGTAAAAGCATGCACACATGCAATTACCACAAAGCATCTGATGTACCTTCTGCATGACACGAGCATGACCAGTTCCTGGTGAGTGAAAGGTGACTTAAAACCAGTATTGTGCATTGCCATTTGCAAGTGAACTGCCCTGTAAAGCCTAAAGAGCAGAGTCAACATTGGGACCTGAACTACCAGTAAGGGCAAATTACTTGAGGACACAGCTGAGCACCTAGGGGTATAAGAGGAAACCCTAAACTTGAATGGATGATACAAGAGGGATACAGAGGGCCTGGAAATGCAGAAGTGGCAGAAGCAGTAGCATACACTAGGACACTTACCTGCTCCACAGTGAGAGGGGAGCTGATCTCTTCCCCACGCAGAATCATGGACCTCTGCGTCAGTACTTCGGAAAGCTGGAAAGCGTCTAAGCCCAGGAGGTCACTGGCAATGTTCAGCACTAATAACAAAGGAAGACACACTTTTTTCTCCTGCATGGACCCCCATCACTCATGGGGGATCCATATTCTGCAGCTCCGTGAGGAAATCTGAGGGACTCCTACAAGGCAAGTGGGTAAGCCCCAGCACAAAACACACTCCCCTTTTCTTAATTCTCTTTGGCATACCCAAAGCTGTAAGCTCACACATCCAGTCTAAGGCAGGGTCAGCAGCCATTATGGGCCACAGTCAGACGCTTACATAAGTCACCCTTTCTGCTGACAACAGGAAGAGCAAACCATTGTATAAAGCTTAGCACCAGCAAAATATTTATTGCATGAGAAGATATGTTTTCCTAAAGGCACAATAGTGCAGTCTGAGCGTGGGATTGCTAAACTTGGATGTCAAGAAGAGAAGCAATTAACTTAAGACTTGAAGCACTTACATATTTATTGCTTCTGTCTTTACCAGACCAGCTCAGATTGGATAACTGTAACAGAGTGCACACTAGCAGATGCTTCAAAGCAAGATGTGGAAAAGTCTGTAACAGACGACTTTTATCTCCAGCGCCTCCCTGTTCCTATTTCTTCCTGCTCCTTCAACACAAAGGAGAAACTCTGAGACTGTGGACTCAGCCTGAGAGTATCCAGGAGAACAAATGGATCACAGGGCCACAGCCCAACTAAATCATACCAGTGCTCTGGAGCCATGCGTCCTGTGGCAATGCTTTTGCAGGGTTAAACTGCAGGGAATCTGCTGGCAAAGGCACTGCAGACCAGCATAGCAGAGGGAGAAAGGACAATGTTGTCCTTTCTAAGAGCTTTGTTGTCCTCCTAAGAGCTTTGTTGGAGGCCTTATGGGGCTTTCCATGGTCTACCAAGTTGCTAGGGTCCCACTTACCCGCTTTCGTTGTAACCTGGGCCCCGCCAGCTGTCATGAATTCAACATTTCCCAGATGAAGTGTGCCAGAAAGAAGTTTGAAGATGTCTCTGATTTCCTCAGTGCTGAAGTCCACCACCTTCATGGCAGTCTATGCAAAACCATACAGCTAATGTTGGCTGTATGTACAGCCACAGTACAATGCAACCACCACACTCAGGCCCAGCCCATATAAGATATAAAATTCAGAATTATAGTCATCATGAATCAAAGTGAAACTGGGGATGGCACAGCCCCTCTCTAAGCTATACATCTGTCAATGATCTTCACTGTCTCCCATTCTCTCCCATTCTCTCCATCATTTACCCTATCTCCATCTAAGGCAGGTGGGCATTTGCCCTATCCCCAAGTTGGACTTTGCTGCTGCCATTGCCTGTCTGTCATGGGAAGAACACGTTTGTCTGTGCCTGTGTGAGAAAATCCTTCCCTGAACACTGGCCGTACAGGTTACACACGTCACTGGACTGCTTCCACATCTGCCTTATTGTCTTCCCTGAAGAAAGATCCGTACAATTTACTTAGTTTACTCTGATCCATATAACCCCCTTAATTTAGTCTAGCTTAGAGAAGTAAAGATTTATGCAGCAATGTTTAAATCCAGGCTTTCAGCATTAACTGCTAGAAGGTTAGAAACAGGTTACCAGATAATGGGGAAGTACGGCACATTCCCTCTGTCTTAGTGCATGCATGTGAGCCAGGGTTCTTGGGGCATAAATTGACTTTGAGAGGTAGGACCTAGTTTTCATGCATTCGCCCTGTCAGTGGGGCACTCCAGGGTTCTAGTTCCCTTCTTTCCTCCAGGCTTCTACTCAGCTGAAGTGTAAACGCCATGTCACCATTGAAACCTCTGCTGTACAGGAGACATCTCCTTCCCTTAAATCATACCTAAGCAGGAGCTATTGAAATCCTAAGCTGACTCCCCTCACCTTGCCTGTCTGGTTTCACCTACACTATTAAAGCCCTCAGGCTGACAACCATTTATCAAACAAAACATGAATTGCATATGCATCCTGCTAAACCCATAACCTCTAGTAAATTTGCAGATGTCTATTGAAATCTGTGTGATATTTCAGAATATGCCATTTGCACAGGTGATACAACTTTACCAGAACATTTCTGAGGAACACTACCCTCAGACCAAACTCTTCCCCTTCTAATGGTCAATGTGAGGTTTTCTGCATCAGGCCATCTAGAGGGCTCCCAGGAACCACTATGGGGTGGGGTTCATGCTCCTCAAAGTCCCCATCATTCTAAATTATTATTTGTCCTTGACTGTTTCCCAAATTCCCCCATTTCTGTACAGTAAGAAAAATCTTCGAGCCTTGTTTTTACCGTAAACAGGTAGAGCTGAGTTTCAGACTCATTGAACACCAAATTTTGGCTTAGGGCAAATAAATTCTGCCTGTGAGATCTAGACCCTGCAGCACGTTTAGCCCATGAGATTGTGCCCAGAAGTTGAGGAGGAGTTAGGACAGGACTCACCATGACCTTACTGAACATCTCTATGTCATTCAGGTTCTCATCAGTCACACAACCAGACTGGTTCAAGTAGCGATAAGTCTCTGGCTCAGAGAGGGAGAGGCTCTCTGCAACAGAAGCAAAAGAGTCAGGGAGGAGAAAGACAACAATTTATTTAGCAATCGGCCTTTTCATTCTTAGTTCCCCAAAACAGTATGTATGTTTACCATAGGAAGATGTTCATCTGAACAGATTCCATATCCCCCAAAAGCCACACCTAGACAGTGAATGAACTGGGGAAGGGGAGGAGGAGGGTGTCCGGTAACAAAGCTTGCAGATGGTATGCAAAATGATTTTAGAACAGTCAAATCCCAAGCTGCAGAGTTGCAGAAGAATATTTCAATACTGAATTGACTCAGCAAAAAAAAACCTTAGAAAATGAAATTAAATCTCATAAAATGTACAGAAAAATAGTCTTAACTATACACATACAGTAATGACCTCTAAATTAGGTAACACTACTTGAGACAGAGTTCAGAGAGTCACAATAAGATTTCTGAAGACATCATCTCAGTGCTGAGCAGCAGTCAAAAACTGAACACAGTTCAGTTCCTTCAGTTTTAGAAGGAACACAGAACTAAACATAAAACCAGAATTAAGTCTCTGTACATATCTGTAGCACAACCGTATCTTAAATACTATCTGAAGGTTTGAACCCCATTTCGAAAAGGATAGAGGAGAACTGAAAGATCTATGGATAAAGGAGACAAGGATGATCAAGAGACAGAAGAAACACATTATAGATGGGGGAAGTGAAGCAGCCTGGGACACCAGCTTGGAAAGGGATATGGGGAAGAATAGCAGAGATCTGCTGGAAACAATAATCTGTTTTCTATGCTTTCCCTAAGTACTTGCTGATAGCCATGGTCCCCACTATTTCCCTTTAGATGGATCGCTGAATTGACCCACGTGGCCATCCCTGCATGAACTCCCTAGAACTGAAGCCCTACTTCCTTCCACGCTGTCAGGTCCAATTCTTCCATCTGATTATTCTAGCACACACAAAACAAAAGCATAAAGAAGTTCCCCAGTCCCTCAAAACCAGAATGCAACTGTAACATGTTCCTGCCCACCTATCTGAGCTCTTCAGCAAGACCATTGGTGCTCAGCAGTGCCCAGACCAGGTACACACAAATGCTGCATTACAAAGAGGATTCTTCCACAGCCTGCAGCTGCCGCTTTCTCTGCATGCCCTCTCCCAGACCCACCGCTCCTTTCCCCATGTACCCTTTGTTCAGGTACTAGACATGTTTTTGCTCTAGTCCTGCCACTATATCACTGGTCTTTCTAATTCTTCTCTCTCCTATTATCTATACTGAACATTTATTGTAAAAGTATGTCTTTCAGTCCAACCTTTGAGCTCCTTGAACAGCTGAATAACAAGACTCTTTACCCTTCCTTTGCCACTAGCCAGTTTGATTACCTCATCTCTCTATACCCCCTCTTCACTTTGCACAGACTCTTCCTCCAGCTCAGAATGCCTTAAGTGTCTTCTCTCACAGAGCATTTCTGTCATCCTCAGGCTCTTTCTCTCAACTCCCCTGTTTCCCATGAAATCACCATATGGCCTTCAAGAAAAAGTAATACATCAAGTATCTGAAATATCAGTGCTCTAGTTGACTTACACCTGCTTCACATGCTGGACTGGAAAGAGGACAGAGCCATATCCCAGAAAATAAAATTACCTTTCTGCTCCCCGCTCACACCAGCTAGCAGAGCATAAAAGATGTGGTAATTCCTCTCTCCGGGGTTCTGGTGTACCACTCTGTTCTGAAACAAAGAATACAGGAGTAGCCAGTAGAAAGAGATCCCACTTCTGGTTACAAAGACAAAGAGAAGACCAGGATACAGGTAAATCTCCAAGGCCAATGCACAAGAGGGACTTCTTCCAGCTTAGTGATGGTGTTGTCTAAGCTCTACATCAAGACCTTGTCATGGGTGGCTGTGCAACTGAGTACATACAGACTTTGCTGAGCTCACTTAGAGGCTGTGCGCACAAACAAACTGAACCTTGTCAGTTCTGGCCCTGCTCCTCAGTGAGTTCCTGAGTCCAAGGTAAACTACATCAGAGCAGAGATGTCTGCATTTAGAGTTGTACCCCCGTATTCCCCTCTATGGAACTGAGTTTCCAGATACTTGTTCTCTCTTCCTTTCCCCTTGGTAAACAGCTTTTCCTTGGAGTCTCTCTGTAATGCACAGCATTTATCAAAGACAGGAGAACAGGCTCTGATAGATATAGAACAATCATTGTTCCTCCACCATCCTCTTCCTCAGTTGGGACAGTCACAGCAGTAACACCTAAAGAGCTAACATCTATGTGCTGTGATGGAGGCAGCATCATCCAGTAGGAGGACTGGCCCTGCCCCACCATACTATGTGGAGAGGGCTCACCCAGCAGTCAGTAGAGGTGATACCTACCTTTTCCAGCAAATCTGAACAGCATGTTAAGGAGAAAACATTCAAATGGCATATGCACAGATCTCCTGATGACTGGCAAAGAATCTTCTAGACACATTGGGATGAACCCTGTAACAAGCAACAAATCATTAAATAACTGATGCTTTGGAAAGTGGACAAAGAGCGGTCCCAAACATCATCTCAGATCCTCCTCTCTGCTCCTTGTCCAGGGAGGTATTATGTGCTAAAGAGATATTTAAAAGGGCAGGGTCAGAAAGAGCATAGGACCTGCACAATGGTGAGGTAACCTAACAAAAGATGAGCCACATTAGGGACACCTAGAGAGATTAGAGAGGCCACTCTAATCTGAAAGTCTGTATTGCACACAGCAAGTCTTGCATCAGTTCTCATTGCTTCTGCAAGACACCGCTATCTTCTATCTACCAACAGCACAAAGAGCAGAGACTAAACAATCCAAGCCTGTTATTTACAACAGCAGTAAATTCATCTGGCTGCTACTCCAGTGGAAATTGGCGTGGTTTGCAGTCATCAGCAGCTTTGAATATCAACATCAAGAAATGTAGCCAGGGCAGCTTTAGCTGCCTCCCGTAGACAAAAGATATAGTAAAGCCTTTGGGAGAGGGGTACATGGGCATACAGGGACTAAAGTGGTCATGGCACAACATAATTCAACTATATCCAGTGTTCCCTGTCCTTGTTGTCACTGGAACAGGCTCCCCAGGGAAGTGGTCACAGCACCAAGCCTGTTAGAGTTCAAGGAGCGTCTGGACGACCGTCTCAGTCATATGATTTAGTTTTAGGTAGTCCTGCGAGGAGCAGGGAGCTAGGCTTGATGATCCTTATGGGTCCCTTCCAACTTGAGATGTTCTATGACTCAGGTTCCAAGGTCCGCTGGAGATGGGCGGCCCAAAACAGGGAGTCATAATTGGCTCTCTAAATTCCTGTTCTCCTCTGCATCCAAATATTGTGCAGACTATATTGATTCTTAGCTTAGTCTCACTTTTCTAAATCATTAATTCATTGGCAGAGCTAACGTAAGGGAACAATCTTCTGGGAAAAACAGGATGCAATCAACATGAGGGATCTTCCTAGGCAGCAAATTCTAGGGATTTAAGTATCAAGTGTTGTGATTGCCAAAGTGAAAAGTCAAACTATGTCCCTACCTAATGTAGTACCTAGACAGAAGGTTTCCAGAGTTAGGTGCTACAGAGCCACAAAACAAACACTTCTTCCCTCTGTAAGTTGCAAATTTGCCCACAGTTATAAACTGGCTTTGAGAAACAGAGATGAGGGATTTCCTGACCCGCTCTGAGCTCCTCATCTCCATTCACTCCATCCATTTCTGGGCCACTGAAGCAAAGGATACAATCAGTTACTCGGCCTCCCTGGATGTGTCCATGTTGAGAGAAGTGCAGCTGGATGAACTTCCCAAAGCGGCTGGAGTTGTTGTTATAAACTGTCTTGGCATTTCCAAACGCCTCCAGAATGGGGCTGCAGAAACAAGGCAATGAAGATATGATTGGTGATGGGATACCATTAAAACAAAGCATGTGCCCAGCCTTTTGCCATTTGCACAGCACGCACTGCCATGTGAAGTTAATTTGTTACAGCACCAGACTGGACAAGCAGGAAGAGCTCAAGGGCAAGGAAGGATGGCAAGATCAATTTAACACACTGCTAGATAAATTTTAAACCTTTGGGATTGGAGTTAACTAAATCGGTCCCAATCAGTATGGGCAGCTGGCGTTCACGCTGTCGAGGGTGTTCCCCACCAATGTGGCTTCAGGAAATGAAAGGTGGCAAGACCCAGCCAGGTTGTGTGCTTAACACAGCAGCATCCCATGAAATGGGTTGGTATTTTTTTCAGGATTTTCAGAAGCATCAGACATATAGGGCACACAGTCTGTAGCTTTAAACCACATACTTCTTTGTTTCTGTTTGTATCTTTGAAAGAGAAGACAGTGTAAGGCATCTCTTAAAACTACAGGTAAACATTTTCAAACTAACAGACAAACATAGTACTAAACTGATTTGTTTGGTACTGAAATTTGATAGGGGAACACACAAACCCTTGTTGTTACTTAAATCTTGCTTAGGCTGATACAAGCCACATGGTTTCCAAGCAGAGGGAATATACACACATTATAGATTTGAAAACTTCATTCTAAGAGAGCGACCATCCACTTCAGGAAAAAAAATGTTGCCAAAAAAAAAAAAAAAAGATCTGTCACCAAACTTCAGATGGGTGATGAATTGAAGAATTTTGTCCCCTGGTGTCGTGGTTTAACCACAGCTGGCAACTAAGCACCACACAGCCACTTGCTCACTGCCCCCAGTGGGATAGGGGAGAGAATTGGAAGAGTATCGTGGGTTGACATAAAGACAGTTTAACAGGGAAAGCAAAAGCCGCACACGCAAGCAAAGCAAAACAAGGAATTCATTCACTCCTTCCCACCGGCAGGCAGGTGTTCAGCCATCTCCAGGACAGCAGGGCTCCATCACGCCCAATGGTTACTTGGGAAGACAAACGCAATAACTCCGAACATCCCCCCCTTCCTTCTTCTTCCCCCAGCTTTATATGCTGAGCATGACGTCATATGGTATGGACCAGCCCTTTGGTCAGCTGGGGTCAGCTGTCCTGGCTGTGCTCCCTCCCAGCTTCTTCTGCACCCCCAGCTACTCGCTGGTGGTGTGGTGTGAGAAGCAGAAAAGGCCTTGACTGTGTAAGCACTGCTTAGCAATAACTAAAACATCCCTGTATTATCAACACTGTTTTCAGCACAAATCCAAAACATAGCCCCATACTAGCTACTATGAAGAAAATTAACTCTACCCCAGCCCAAACCAGCATACCTGGTTACCTTCCAGTCTTCGGGAGGTTCATACAACAAGGAAAACAGTGAGTTAAAATGCAGCTTGGTTCTTGCTCCACAGAATAGTACAAGGGAAAAGCCTAAACCATTCAAACTGACACACTGATTCCAGGATTAAAATATTCATTTTTGCAATTTAGCCAATTCTAAAATAATCTGAAGGCCTGACAAGCAAGGAGTCACGGAAACGCTACAAGAAAAGCCTGTAGGCAATCATGTTTAATTCTGAAACATACACAGTTTTTAACAAAAGGTATTGCAGTTGTCACCTTGAGAAATACTGGCTTTTTAAACATCTCCATCAATCTACTGTGGGGTTCCACTTCAGACAGGGGCAGATACAGGATTATTCACAAGTTAATAACTATAACACAACAAATAATCACAACTACAGATATCGCTGGAGTTTGCTGAAAGCGTCAGGCCTTGCTAAGTGAGAGCTGTGGTTGTGGGAAAGGGTCAGCAACATTCAGGAAACTTCAGGCAGTATTTTCCTAGTTTATCTCTTGAAAATATCACTTTAAACAAACAAAAGCGTAGAAATGAAATTGCTCTGATATAATACATTACAACCATAGAAAACCCAGTCACAGAAATCTGCGTGCACAGATCAGGAGGTAAGTTCCTTGCCCTGGAGAATGTGAACTCTGAGACCCACGCCTCTGAACAAGTACGTAAATAAGGACATTGCACAGGAGTATCCCACTGAGCACACCAACGCCATGAATCAACAAAAATTAATGGGGACAACCAGAAAAAGGGAGGACAGGGTTATGTTATATGACCCCCACAGTTGCAGTGAGAGTGTAGTAACCAACCAGCCGATCTTTATGGCTCTAAATCATGTTAAGTTAGATAAGCAAAGCACAAGGAAGTATCTTTATAGTTTAGCTTGGCAATGGGCTCATGCACACGAGTGCAGAAGTCTTTCAGGGATGGGGGAGGAAAGAGGCACGTGGGTGTCTGAGGCTGGCGGCAGCTGGAAGCCAGAGGGGTGGGTGAGCCGATAGAGCCAGGAACGGGGGCAGGTGCCTGGGCCAAGCCAACTGCCCACGCCAGCGGGCACATCCCAGCGCGGTACTGGATGCAGCAGTGAACCGTGCGAGGCAGAGCGGCGCATCAGGAAGGTGATGCTGGCTGCTCGGCTGGATGTGGCCAGGGTGTGTTGTAGGATTCAAACCGATGGGAACCGGTTTCAACAGGGCAGCGGAAAGCGAAGCATGGATTTTAGAAATATTGCAACATATGCAGCTCCAGGATTCAGACACATAGCTAAGGACAAAAAAGAATATTCAAAGATTAGAGGGATGAATAACAGGAGAGGTGGCTATGCTGTCAGCAATGTCACCCAACATGGAGAAGGGAGATTCAGAGTGAAGCAAGCAATAAAAAAAAGCTGAGAGGAAAGTTAGCAGAATTTTTAATGGACTGATGGATATTTTTAAGAAGGAAAACAGACCAAATCAACGGTGCCAAGGGAGTTTTCAGAGCCTGATTTCTGAGAAATACACCAAGCATGAATATTACAACACACAAGCAAATGATAGAAAGCTGATGTAACACTTTGTTTATAATGCTGTCTGAAATGGAGAAAGAATCCAGCATTGTTCCTGGGTATGTGCTGGGATGCAAGAATGAAAATCCGCCATAAGCAAACCCAAGGAGGGCCACTGGCAGAGCAAGTGAAGCTGAATTGCAAACATATGAGATAGACTTATTAGGAGTGGCAGCAGCTTCTGGGTCTGGGCCAGGCCCTCAGCTTCTCTTCTTCAGGGAAAAGGTGACAAACCAAGTTATTTTGCACTCGCATCACGGTAGCTCTCGTAGCACTACAGATGTACACAAAACAAGTCATGAGCTCTTACTCCACTTCACCTCACAGCTGTGGGATCTTGCAGACTCAGGAATCGCCTACCTACCATTGTAAGCTTTCTGGATCACAGTCAAGTTACCACTTAACCACCAAGTGGGCTTGAGCCTTCTCAGCCACTTGCCTTAAAGCAGATTTTGCAGATCTTGAGTCCTGACTGTATTGCACTTAAGAGCTTTTTCCAGTTTGCCAATGTCCCTGGTAAAATATGCACACCTGCAAAGAATAAATCATCCAACAACAGTCTCTCAAGCACAGGGTCCAAAGGCAGCAACCCTTCTGCTCAATGCTGCTCTGCTTATAAAGATCCTAAAAACTGCAATGCTCTTGCAGCTGCCACATTAGACACTGCATGTTTGCTTAGGCTATTTTCACCACAGCTACTGGTAACTTTTTTTTGCATCACCATCTCCCAGGAAACATTCCTTCTCTCTACTCTCTTGGCCCTGAAATATGCCACTTGCGTGACAGTCACTTTTACACGGATGGTTCGAAGGGTTCCAGCTTATTACACAACGAGATCCTGTTGCAGACATCTGATTTACTCCTCTGGAGGTTTCTGCAGCTATCACAGGCTCAAACTGGGACCAACCTCCAGCCTCGCCCTTGACAGTACCGAACTGCAAGACCCCCAGCAAGGTCCTCCAGGGAGTCTTGCGTTGGGAAATTTTTGTTTAATTTAATTTATTGCTAATTAAGAGAAACTTCTGATTGTGGATTCAGGTGTTAAGAAAACAGACGCTTAAGTAAACATCTTTCCTCCCTCTTCCCAAGGCTTACCTGACGTCAAACACCTATTGCTCCCCTTTCTTAGCCTCGGCTTCCATTTCTACCTCGGGTTACAACTAGTCCCTCGCAACTCCCCCCGCAAGGCAGCAGCAGCGCAGGAGGCTGGGGTCCCACACATAACCGCTTCCTTCTGTCGCTCTTTGCTTCCTCGTTTTCTCTTCTGCTCTTTGCCTCTTACTGGTTTTCCTCAGCCGCACTTGGCTTCTTCAAGTTTTCCCGATGCTTTTTTCCTTGGTGCCCCTGTTCCAGCATGGGTCACCTGTGGGCCGTGGTCCTGGGGCGGGCCATGGTCCCTCAGGGGCATCCCTGCCCCGGCATGGGTCACGGTCCCTCAGGGATGTCAGGACCTCCTTTGGCATGAAGAGCCCCACAGAGCGCGTCTCCATCCCCTCATGGCTGCCAGTTTCCTTCCCAAAGGTGTTTGACCCGGCCGCCATGCACTTCCCTGCCTGCCTGATGCCTTCGCAAGGTTTTGGTGGGTGGTGGTTATTCCCCGGTGCCTGCTCCAGCTGAGACCGGCTCTGACCGGCACAGGGCCTCCTCCCACACAGGCCCTGCTGCAGCCCCCAGGCAAACCTCCTCGCTCATGCCCCTTACAGCTCCCATGGGTGTTTCTCCTTAAAATCACCTGCCTGGACAGCAAGAGAGCTGCCAGGTGGCCACAGGACCTCCGAGGGAAGACGTACCAGCGGTCTGCAACAAATGGAGGCTGGGGGAGAGTGGGTGCTAAAGGAGGAGACCAGGAGTCAGAGAGTGATGGAGACTCACCGCAAGCGCAGCCACAACTGAGAGCTGTGGGAGACGGGGATGACCTGGGACAGCCATCCCTGTGGCGGGGGGGGGGGGGGCCCCCCCCCCCCCCCCCCCCCAGCCGCTGCCACGAGAGATGTGGGCCTGAGAGCTGGAAAGAGGGACAGCGCAGTGATAAGCAGGTGAGCTCAAGGGTGCAGCTGGGCGGACACGGACGATGAATTACAGAAGGAAGGAGAAATCCCAGCCTTGGCTAGAGCATTAATTCTCCGGCTGCCACAGGCACCCTGCGCTGCTATTGGAAAGAAGCCCAATTAATCCACAAGCAGCTGGGAGAGCCGTCAGCGTGAGGTGTCCCGGGAAGACCGCGACCTCCGCGTTTCCCTGACGTGACACCATTCAGCTGCACGAGCATCGCTGCCCAGACTCGGCTCCGTCTGTGGCCGGGCTCAAGCGGCTGCCGTGCAGAAGGCAGTGCCCCTGCCAAAGGCAGGCTGCCCCAGCACGCCGGTGTCTGCGGGCCTGCCAGGCCTCTGCGGGACAGGACACGTGGCACCCATGGGGGTGACCATACCTGCTTTCCAGGATGGCTTCTTCCACACGAGTGCTCTTCTCAGACGCAGGGGCCCCGAGGGAGGTCTGGCTCATGGCTGACAGAAACTTCAGCAGCAACTTGGTGCTCTCAGTCTTTCCAGCTCCACTTTCTCCGCTGTTAAAGAAAAGACATACGTTCCATTCACAAATCCAGGACAGACTGAGCTAATGACCGTCCCACCCGCGGCAGAGAAGCGATCTCCAGGAATAAACACATAGCATCTCCACTGAGGCAAGCAGGGGTCAGGCAAAGGGTAGGGTAAGATGGTGTGGATATTTAGGCAGATGTCATTGCAAACGGAGCAGCAGGAGCAAGGTGTGTAATGCAGTCAGGGAATAGCCGGTTCTCCCATTTCTAACCTTATCAGAACACACTGGCTGTCATGACGCTTCCACAAGCAGCAGTAGCACTCATTAGCGGTGGCGAAGATATGGGGAGGCAGCTCACCCAGGCGGTGCTGTCTGTACAGGTCTATGGCATCCACACTGTACAGACCAGGGATGGGTTTGTAGGGATTTACTGATGCCAAGATGGAACCAATGTTTGTCTAGGGGGAGAAAACAAAACACAGCAAGGAAATAAAGCTCCTGAAAAAAAAAAATCACGACGAACCCGAACCCTGAAATAACTCATGGTGAAGGGAGAAAGTCTAAATAAGGAAGCTGGGCTTCAGCAGAGAGCTCCCCAATTTGGCAAAGATGTCAAACCCCAGGGCAGGGGCTGCACGACTGGGTACGGATGGGGCAGTCTCAATTTCACTGCTTTACAATAAAATGTTCTTAGTCTGTTCTTAGTCTTAGCTTACACAACTTAAAAACATGAAGCCATCTTCATATCCAGCTACCTTGCACTGTGCTTGAAGCTGAAAAGCAGAGCCGGGACTGAAGGAGTGTCAGGAGATACCTTCAATGCCCCTATCCACAGTCTTAAGTGGAGGGGGCTTGGCACGGTTCAAGCACCTCCTGAACAAAAAGGTGGGATGCAGAGGCGCACACACGTGTGCGAAGAGCCACTAAAGCGTATTGGTTTTCTGCTGAAAAATGCTGTTTGGAGCAGCTTAAATCATTTGGTAAGCCAAATCAAAATTGACAGCTGAAGATGAAGCTCAGGATTTCAAGTCAAAACATTTCTACATTTTCTAAACATTTTATTTTGAAAATATTTATTTTGAAAATCTCACAGTTCAGGAAAAGAATTAGTAAGGTTTAAAATAAAATACCCAAAGCCTAATATTGAATTTCAAACGTATTCTTTTGTGAACTCAGAAGGAAATGCATTTTGTTTTTTGGGGCATGACTTTTTCGGTTCAGCCAACCAGCTCAAATCCAGTTATTATCAGAGCTGCAGTTCAGAGCAATGGTGCCACCTCTCTCCTAACAATGGCTTTGTAATACAGTCAACATCCAGCTTAAATCCTACTGCTGGTGCGGTGGCCTCCTTCACAGGGACATCTTGGTCTGCTCGACTCCAGGAACACCCATTCTCAGCAGGGGTGATGGAGGAAACACTTAGATTGCTGCAGGAGGTGCCAGGCTTTGTGGCCAGGGACAACATCTAGTACTACTTCCAAACCATGAATTACGAGTCACCACATACAAAGGTTTGCGTGCATCCATTGGAGAAGCTGTAAACGAAACACTTGATGACAAGAAAGACACATGCCTTCTCCCTGCCAAATGAAATCTGGGGCCATACTGCAATGGCGAGCCCTGAAGCCAGAAGCCAGACTAAGATGCTGTAGTCACCAAAATATCTAAGACTGCTTTATTAAAGCAGCAGTCGCAGATCATCAGAGGGGAAAAAAACCCCATCACCTAGGTCTAATTGCATTATTGGTATGAACAGGCTAGCATGGAACAAGTCCTGAGGACCCTCTGACATGAACCTTTGTGGGCAGAAATCTAATTCATTGGTGATGAAAGCAATAAGCAAGCAGATGATCTTTGGCAAGACAGGTGGGAGGAAATGGGAAAGCATTGAGAGAGAAAACACAGATGGGAAAAAAGCACTGTACAACCAGTTGAGCAACAGACATTGTCCAGAGACTGCCAGAGAGAGATGTCCATCCTAACACTTCTCCCAGACCTTCACAGCATTTTTTTCCTCTAGGATGTTTCATTTTGCATTTCCCACTCTAGTTTCAGCCCTCCCAAGGAACTGAGCTCCTGCCGCAGGCCCTTCTTCCAGTACTTCTTCCAGTACAGCCATCTCTTTCAAAGGTGTTTCTAGGAAACTTTTCCATCTCCCAGCTGCAGTCTCCTCATCACCTGCAGTCCCTTATAGACAATTTCTATCCACAATTTTTAATAGCAGTAGCATTTGTGCACCAACCGTGTACATACCAGCCACTCTATTAGCAAGGAGTGACTGTCCCCAGAGAGCTCTGTAGAGCAGGACAAGCCACATGTGGCATGTCTACTTCTCAAGACAATAGACCCTACTTGGGTGGTTAGGCATGGCAGAGCTAGGGACAGCTCAGAATGTGGCAGTACAGCCCCTGGCTCATTTATACATCACTCACATTATGTTGGGTCTACTTTTATTAAGGGATATGGGAATTGCAGGAATGAAGGGGGAAGATACACTCTTAAATGCTGCAGGCTGTTGCTGTGCTCACATAATTTCCGTAAACAGTTTGGCAGAGCTTGAATAGTATTTCTTTAGAAAGCAAAAGGTACTGTTAAGATTGTCAGTATTCCTGTAGCACATTAATTAGGGGTAACACATCGGTATTGCTGCCTATACTCCCTGACCAGAAAGGATCCCCTTTAGGAGCTCATGATAGGATGCCTCCAGGCATACAGCTCAGAACTGCACTGCCCTTTTTCACAGCAGTTGTCCACTTCATGTTCTCAGTTTTCCATCCCCTCATTATTTTTATTATTATTTATTTATTATTATTTGTAATATTAGTTATCAGTATTCCAAGTTACCCATTCCTTCAGGTGAATTTGTTTTCCAGAAAACGATGATATTTCTCACCTGTTTCTGATCTCTCCAATTTCCTTCCAAATATTTCTGGCCCTGACTGATAGGCATAACTGCTCTCAGTACAGCTTCATCTGCAACCTTAGCTTACTATGCTCTCCCTGTGGAGACCACAGAGAATGATGTTAAATGAACTCAGCCCCTGCAACATTCATGGTATTCACAGATCTCTGCAAGTCATTAGGTGGCACTACAGCCGACATTCTCAATTTCTGCTTAACTGAAAACTATACGCAGCAGGGCTACGGCAAAAACTAATAGTTAGTGATAAGGTAACTGCAATATTAATGTCTGCACTGCAGAAATGCAAAACAGCACTTATCCAGTTTGGTGTCCCCCAGGTCAGACATTGCACAAACATGTACCCAGATACAGTCCCAGTCAAGAAGGGGCTTACAATCCTTCACTGAGGGTTTCTTCCCAGTGCTCAGCGCATTACAGAAGTCAGGCCTCTTCATAAATCTCCCAGAAATTCAGATCTGAGGTGCACAGCTGACATTTGTGCACCACGCACAGGCAAAAAAATTACATCATATTTAAACTTTCAATACCTTTACACACGGATGGAGAAGCCACAGAACTAGTGCTAAAGAGAAGGAATGACATATCAGAGCCAGAGGAAAAGCTTAAGGAGGTGCAGCTGCTGTGACACTGCCACAGTGCTGGTGTTGTGGCATTTTTGGTGCAAGGCACAGACTGAAAAGGGAGAGAATCCTGCCTCTCATTTCAAAGTGTGAGGAAGAGGAAACAGGAGGAATATACCCAAATGGGCAAGGAGCTGCACAAACACATAGCGCACGTCTAACACAGGTCAGGAAGAGCAGCAAGGACAAGGGCCATCGAAAGAGTGCGTGCACGTGGGTACTGCCACAGGGTCACAAGGCTATGGTGACAGGCAAGAGGCGAGGGGGTCTACAGCAACAAAAAAGAGAATTTGCAGTCTCCTCTGCGTGGCGGTGCAGGAGATGGTTCAGAAATGGGGTCACTTTATTGATCATTTCCTGGAATACAGGTGCCTATGGTTTGGTTGCCCTGGTAACAGTTGCTACGCAACACAGATAGAGATTTACATTTTTCTTGTCATAATCTGAAAAACTCAGTGTGCACATAGCATGGATGAGCAAGGTAAGGGTAGAGCAAGGTAAGGCAGTCTCTTTAATACATCCTCCTAGTCCTCTCCAAGTCTCCGCAGGGCAGGCTGCCATCCCAGCACTCGGGGGATGCCTCGTCCCAGGTGTGCTTTCCCTCACAAGTCCCTTTCCTGACGCTTGCCTCCTTCCTGAGGGCCCCGAGAGGGAAATCAGGAGGTGCTTTGAGTATTCATCTGTGCAAGGAGAGCAAAGCAACTCAAAAAAGGCACAACAGCAAGTAAAAGCAGAAGAATTAGGCAACAGGTTTGCTTTCCTAGCTTTGTCAAGCAGTAGCTTTATCTGGATCAGCAGGGATACTCAGCAACAACCTATGTACACTGCACTTTCCAGTCTGCTTGGCCATATAAACCTCTGAACAGTAATAATGGGGAATCCGGGAAACGTGAATGCCAGCCTGTAAAACACGGATGGTCATGGAGGATACAGAGCTGCCCAATTACCACAAAGCCTAGAGGTGAATGTTCATGTTTTGGAAGTCCTTCTGTAGATACAAAGAGGCCCCTCTGGTAGGGGCAGGATCTCACAGGGCTGATGGAGCTGGCAAGGCAGCAAAAACCTCCCTTTTTATCCACATGAAATGATGCTCAGGAAACAAGGCTAAAAATCAGTATTTCACATGCAAAGTGGCAGCCTCAAAGCTAAACAAAAATATTAGCCAGAAGGGATGTGGCCCAGCTTGAGCACTTACGTAGATGTTACCCTGTTGGTAGCGCTGGTGCAGGTTAAGCAGGATGGCAGCTTCATGCAGATCTCCCAGCATGGACATGTCTTCTACCCCATCAACGCTGGTCTGGTGCATTGGCAAGACCTTGTCTCTGGAAAGGGAGGCCTTGGGGTACTGGAATACCTGGAAGAATGGGGAGAAGGACAAATAAGCACATGACACCTGGGCATGTGGTCTGATTTCCTACCAGAAACATGCCCTTTTCCACAGCTTTATACTCCAGCACTGGAAAAGGAAATGAATAAGGCACAGATCCGCTCCCTATTTTTATAGTTGTTCCTCTGTTCCTGTTCCTACCTATTTGAGCTCTCTGGCCCAAAACCATACAGCACACTCCCTTCCTTTGCTACTGAGTCACTCTCTCACCTTCACTACTGACAGGGACAGATCAATGCAAGGTTACTTGGTTGTTACTGAAGCGCCCTTAGCAGGAGCAGGGCACCAGCCTCCAGGTACACCAGGCCAGACAGGTATTACACACTGCGCTCGTGACTGTGAATAATGCTGGCAGCTGCTCCCAAGAAACCAGGAACAGTCTTTCACCACAGGTGGGATCATATCTCTGAGTGTGGGGAGGTTGAGGAAAAGCTTATTCGCATTCCAGGTTTGGCCCTGCACTCTCCATAGGAGCAGCCAGAGAGTGTTTGGGAGAGGCTGTCATGTCAAGAGCAAAGGAAAGAAAAGCAGATAAGAAGCCAAACAAAGTAGTGACACCCTGGGTGCATGCTGGCATGTATGTACATGATGCCGCTTTCAAAGTGTTTGTACAGTGATAGCTATTAACTTCTATCACTGCTCTGGGAAGTGCCCACTTCTCTCTCTATGCAGTTGCACTCTTCTTGCCTCAATTGCTGCATCCTTCTTCCTGCTAGAGCTTCCTCCTCCTCCTCAATAACCCACACTTCAGCTATCGGGTCATCTTCTTCACCCCCTTTCAACACAGCTGAGATTATGTGACTGTTCCCCTCCACCATAGCCACATCCCAGCCCTCCTTTCCTCCTCTTCAAGCACGATGCTGGCATTTCGCAAAAGTTATTTCCGTTGCTTCCCACTCTTGGATTCAACCGTGCGCCATATCCCAAGCTGTGCTAGATGGTAAGACCCAAAACAGATGGGGGACTTCATACAGGCAGCCTGGAGAAGCAAACTGGCCCGCAGTAACCCTTCCGAGGAAACCTGGGCTTTTCCTTCTCTTCCAGGACTCTGGTCTCTACCTCATTTCCATTACTGCTTCTCGGCCCTCCCCGGTGCCACCAAGAAACTGACTGACCCCACAGAGAATGAGCCTGTGACATATATAGCGTTGATCTAGCTGTTTTCTCCTGCCTGCTTTCCTGGAGTCCTCAGGCTGCCGTAACTGCAAGGGAGAGGCCAGCCATGCTGAAGACAGAAGGAGGTCACCCTGCCCCCTCCGGCGAGCCACCCTCGCGAGTCCCCGCGGGGTGCTCGCTGCCACAGCGCGTCGCAGGCGCCCAGCGAGCGCCCCTTTGCAGCTCCCAGCCTGCACCCGCGCCACTGGGGGAAAGGAATAACCTGGCACAGGATCCCTTCACAAGACCCCCACGATGCCTGCAAAAGCGTGCACAATGGAAGCAACAGCTCTGTTCCTGGAAGGAGCTGGGGAGGAGAAGCAGGCTCATTTTCCCAGATGTGTTTGCCCCAGGTCTGCCCAGTCACACCTAATGTGACAAGGACTCGGTCTCTTCCACTGGGAGGCTGCCCCACAGGCTGATGTTCTCACCAGCCGAGGCGCTTTCAAAAATACGTAGTTCACACTCATGAACAGTCCCGTCCAGCACACAGGCTCTCTCCAGGCCTCCCTGATCTTCTCTGCACCACTTCTGCAGCTGGATATCAGAGAGGTAGGACTCTGCCAGCAGCAGGACCCCCACTCTGCAAGCATGGCCCAAAAAAAACCACATAACTTTTTTTTTTTTTCTTCTTCAGAGCTGAGGCCTCAGGCACTTCCACAACAGAGGGAGCAGGAAGGGAGAATGGGACAACTGAATTCAGGGGAGAGTGCAAGCTGCAAATGCACAACATGAGCTGGACTCTGTCAGGAGCAAAACCACTACAGCACTTTCAAACCATGAGGCAGCAAACCACCCTGGCTCTCTTTTCTCTGCTGACTTGGACAGCTTTTGGAAGGGGACAAGTCCAAAATGGTATGACGTGATCTTTCCTTACATCTGCCTGGCACTTACTCATTTACCACTGCACCGTCAGCACTTGTGGCCATTTAGGCCAAAAGAGAACCATCAAGAAAATGCCTAGGGAAAAAGCTGAGTGGACAAGCGTCCTGAAAGATACCAGGCGGTTGGCAGCACCTGTGCCAAGAGGCTGCTATACATGAAAAATAACTGTGATGGGTCAGAGCTTGTTTACTTGCTCTTGTAGACAACACAGGAGAAAATGGGACCCTGAAGAGCAACAGGGGACCTAAATGCAAGAATAAATGATTAGTAGGGACTAGATCATCACTTGTTAAACCTGTCTTGAGCCCCCTGAGTGGGGTTATTCAGTCATCCCTCCCTAAAAAAAAATCTGGTCCAAGATCCTCAAAGAGTTAAGCAGGTGCTCTGGCAGGACTGCAGCAACGGTTGGTGAGAGGGGCATTGGCTCTGGTACCCTCTGGACAGAAACACTGCATAGGCGAAATATACACCCTGGAGGAGCGGGCTGATGCCACGCTGACACCCTAGCCAAGGCCAAGATGTCACCTATCTGTCCCTGAGGCTAGGGAGGGTCACCGAATACCCTTGCCCATCACTGCACTCCTAGCAGCTCACCCTTCCTCAGGCAGAGGCTGGGGCCTCCAGCCCCACTGAGATTTGGGAGGGGAGGTCTCTGTGCCCCTGGGAGGCAGGTGTAGCATAGGAGAGAGGTTTCAGGCCTTCCTTGGCACTGGAAGAGAGTTGGCTTTTAATCTGTCCTCTGCCCTCCAGGGTAGACACGAGTTTCTAGTCTCTGTATCATCAACAGGCTGCAGGGATCATCCATGGTCCCACAGACAGACATGGGCTTTTTTGTTCCCAAGATTGTGTCAAAGGGCCTTTCCCTGAGGAGCTCTGAGGTTTGAGATACAAACATGACCCAGACATGATGACCTCCACCCTTAGAACTTGCAAGGTGCTGCACTGATCCAGGCCCTTTCCCACCTCCAGCCACCCCAGTAAAGAGGCTCTTGTTACCCCACTGCTCGCTTCTGGACCCCTCCAGCAATCTGCCAGGAGAGCAGTTTGGAGGAACACCCTCCCCACCATCCTGCACCAGGCGAGGTGAGCCAGGCTGGCTTCAGCAGCTAGCACTACTGAGCTGAATACAATGGCTGATTTTGCCTGAAGCAAGTGAGAACACAAACTGATCACTCAGCAGAGCTGCCTCTGGAATACCTCTTTTCCAACAAGTTAATACTTAACCAGAAATTTATAGGCATTAATAAGCAGATCTTTATTATTTGGGAAGAAAAACTATCAACTTTTAGTCTAACTACAACCAAGCCATCAAATACCACACAGGTACCTCAAAACACAGCCAATGATTTCTACTTTCTCCCCAGTGATTAACTGATTGTCTCAGATTTAGCCCACAGTCAGAACAAAATGAGCAGGACTCTCTACAAGCCCCTGCAATGGTCAGGAATAAACCAAAACCTGACCGGCAGACAAGCCAAGATGAGGATTGCCAACCAAGCCAGACTGAGCAGGGGAGAAATGATTCCTCCTCAACCTCAAATCTATCCATTAGTGCAACCCTGAGCACGGGAGCAAAGCTCCCGCTCAGCATCTAAGTTATGTTTATCCATAAAGCATTTGCCTGGTCTGTCTGGACTGTGGTTTCCAGTCTTGTGTTTCATGTCGGCTCCTCCTTTCCTCCCAGGAAGTCACATTTCTGATGGATTTGTTGCTTGAGGTGTTTTTAAGGAAGTGAAAACAAATGGCAAAAGGCCTGAAGCATAAGACCGGGCTTCTTACCTCAGAGCTGCAGGGATGCTGGGCCACAGAAAACACGAGGATACTAGATTTAGGGATCCTAATATCAGAGGGATCGACTGAACCATCCAGCCCAATGTAAAATGAAGATGTTTTCGCCTGAGTTTTCACCTGGCGTAAGACAGCCAGTCCCTCCTACAGTGATCTAGCAATAAAGGCAGCAGGTGAGGGAAGCACATAGGACAGCCATTGTGCAGCATGCTGAATAAAGCAAGCCCTTGAATGATCAGTGTGTGCTTTTTCTGCATAAGCCATAAAGCACATGCTGCTTCAGCCTAGTGGTTTCTTTTTTTGTGGAGGGAAAAAAAAAAAAAAATCCAGCCTTTTTAGACCTGTGACTCCACCCAGCATTATCCTGCGCACATTTTCTAGCACAGACACAGGCTGGCGGTGGGTGCACCCACTCAGTGGGCTCTGTGGTGGAATTTCTGGTGTCCTTTCAGAGGTGCCAGGTGGGTTTGGAGGATTTTCCAAGGCCACAGCAGCATATCAGAAGAGACAGGAGCAAGTCTGGGAGTCACAGAAGGACTCACCGTTTGGTCACCCTCCACAGGCTGCTGCATTACCTGTGATGAATGCCTCTGTGATCTCTTAAGATGGGCTAGTGACTATCCAGCACCCCCAAAACAAGGCGACTCCTCAAGAAAGGATTTAAGAGACTAGAGTAACCAGATGGAAAACCTATGTGTCTGCTAGGTGAGTTTCTGTCTCTGAGAAACAAATCAGTCTCTTTAAAAAGGAATGATGATTTGAAATCTAGCCCTGACAAATAAAGACTGAAAAATACGACAGTCCTACCACTGACTCTCCACAAGCTGGAGTCCTAAATCCCCTTTCCCCCTGTGCCCTCCTTTGTTTGCCAGGTAAGAGGCTGAAAAAAGCTGTCCAATTTTCTGTAACAAAGCAGCTGCCTGCAGAGCAGGGTTCACCAAAACAGCTGAGCAGATCTAATTCTTGTCTGCTGGAGGGCACAGTCCTGCCTGTTTCCCCATCCTCCTCCCAGCCCAGGCACCAGTCTGACTCTCTAGGAACCTTGGTGAAGGCAGTGAATAGTCTTCCCAGGGTTAGGGAGCCGAGCTGACTCACTGAGAACTTGGATGATCCCCAGAGGTCCCTTCCTACCAATATTACTCCATGATTACTGCAGCAGGCACGCCAGGGAACCACAAGGAGCACAGGGTGGGAAACAGGGCAGGAAAGAGGCTTGTGCCCTATCGCTGGGCGAGAGCTCTGCTCTCAGAGGAGCTCAGCTGCCTTGTTGAACTGTCCTAGGCATAGCTGCTGCACTTACGCTGCTGACTGACACAGGGAGCTCACTTCCACCTGCCCCTGACCCAAAGGGCTGATGGCAAAAGCTGCTGAAGCAGACGGTGGTGAGCACAACAGCCCTCACAGCAGCAGGGCTTGCAAGAAGCACATCCTGGCAGAAAGGGCTGCTGAGCTGGTGGAGCTGCCTCCTTCCTAGGAGCATTTTGCCAATATAATGGTTTTGCTAGTCTGTTAACGCAACTCCTTCCAAGACGGCACAAAAAAAAACTCAAGCAAAGTGAGGTGGGCAGACAAATGAACAGAAGAAAGAGAACAATCTTCTCTTTTTTAACCTTTGTTAGACTGTTGGCCTGTTTTGTAGCAGGGCTGGGTCACTTTTCAGACAGAATTGCAGCATTTCAATTGATACATTTCTTTTTAGCATGAAGGTCATGCAAGACCAAGAAGTACATTTTGCACCTTGGGATAGGCTACAGCCTCATGCAGACTTCACTTACCGTGCCATAATCGGAGGTGAAGAGCACGTTTCCATCGGCACATGAGCCAACAGTGCATGGCTGCAGCTGGTCCTGCTCCCGCAGCCATACCCTGGCACCCTGCAAGAACCAGAAGACCTCCCATTAGAAAGAACTGGAGCCTGCGAGATCTGCACAGGGGGTGCAAACACCCAAGAAAAGCTGCGGGAAGCGGCAGCATTCAGAGGCTACTTCCAAGCTACAGCTGCTTAAAATTTTTAAGCAAGTCCTACTTAGATTTTCAGAGAAACTGGTTTTGATTTTTTTAACATAACATGAGAGGAAGAAAAAGCAGCTTTAATCAGCTTCATGAGGAAACCAACGTAAGGAAACATGAATTTTTATAGAAAGAGTCATGGAAAGATACAAACATGCAGAATAGTGGGTTTGACTGTGTAAATATTTTCAAATTTAGAATAGCCGGTCATTAGAAGTCATGTTATAATAATAAAAGAACATGTAAATAAAGCATGTTTACAATTTCATACACCCACACGTCATTGTAAGTCAAAATGCTTCCAGAAATCATCAGCAACAGCTAAGCAGACTTCACAGAGCTTTGTTTGCCTCTCTTGCACGAGTTTCCTTGGGTAAATGACATGACTTGAGTGTTTCTCTGATGTATATATACACTGATGTATATTTGATGGGCCTGATGTATATACAGTTTCACACACACTACAAGATCTTAAATTGCTCAGTGTCTCTCAAAACAACCCTGACCACAAAGGCAGACTGCTGGTAACACATATGCAGGGATCTGCAGGGCAAGCAGATCTCATAGCTCACCTACCAAAAAAGGTGCAGGGGAAATCAGTTTGCTGGATTGGCCTCTTCTGCCCTGCCTGACTGTGGGACCTGGCACAAGGGTAAGAGCAGGAGCATGAAGGTAAATCAGGGAGAGCATGACCTGCAATTACGCAGAATTAGGCATAACTTCACACTGCATTTCAGTTATTGCAAACTAATCTGTTCCATGTCTTTCCATAGAAATCGCATCAACTCTGCTTAGATAAGTATTGAGAAAAAGCCAAAGTGCTGAACTGTTGAGTAACGTTAAGGCCATCCTGCTTTCCATCGATTCATAGACCTACTTTCTTCCTAATTTGTTTTCTGCCCCTAAGTTATTGATTATAAAAGCCCTTCCTAGCCTCTTAAACCCGTCAGCACCATTAGCTCTTTGCTTATAGGCTTATTATGTTTGAAGAGATGCAACAGTATTTCTATATTATGTTATCCAGAATGTGGAACACTAATTCTATTTTTAATGATTTATTTTAGTTTAGGTGGGTTTTTTTTAAACTACTTTAGTCACTTTAAACACTTTAGTACCCTGGATTTTCCTTACTGTAGAAGATATGTCTATTGGCCAACCTCCAGTCCTCCCAATAAAGGAACTGGTTTTAATGACATTTTAAAAAGCCTACATAATTCTACTTTTGCTGCTGTGTTCTGCTTTAGAGTTTCCATAGCAGGCAGATTAATTTCCCCTCACCAAGTGAATGAAAAGCACCAGTGCATCTGGTCAGTACCTAAACCCAAGGATGGCGTGTGAAGATCACCCTCATGGCCAGTGAGCAATAGCAGTAGAAAGAAATGTTTTCTTATGCTGCAGATTCAAGTTTCAAGATCCCAGAGAGCCGGTAAGCAATGCATTGAATACAGATTTTGAGGAACTGTATTAGAGCTCTTCATGACATCCTCTTACATTTTCTGAAATTCTTGATGCTTGAGACAACGCGTCCTGAGGCATTTGGGCAAAACATTGCTGTTGAGAAATCATCCATTTCCCGAATCGCATTCTGATGATTCCACACAAACGTATGAACAGCAACATGTGTTAGCAAAAGATCTTTTTGCTATTTTCACCAAAGGCTCCTACTACCATCACGGTATCAAAAGCAAAGAGTCACAAAAGAGCAAATTTGTGTCTGGAGTTCCCAACAGCGGGATGAAAGCAAACCTTTTCTAATACACTTACTGTTAATACTTATTCCCAACAGTGCATTCCAATGCCTTCAGACCCCAGTAACCCAGGAGCACACAGATGAGAGCCTGCAGGCAAGTGCCGCTTGATCAGGAACCAGGCCTGCACCCTCCCACACACACTGCACCCCGATGCCACGGCACGCACACAAGCACACACACACACCCCTGCTCAGCACGAGGAGTGTGCCGTGCTCACAGAACCCTACGTTGTCTGTCCCTGCAAACCAGGGGGGCCGGCTTATGCAGACTTTCCACTCCCTGAGCTCGGAAATTAGTTTGGAGATAGAGGTAGTTAATAACCTGACACACAAGAGACACTCCACGGGCATGAACACTGTTATTTATTAGGTATCATTTAGAGGGAAAAGGAGGGGAGATGGACAATGAGGTCTCTGGTATCTTCAACACCTAGAAATTATCACAAAGTCTAGACTGACCCAGACCCTTTTCCCAGCAGAAGTCCATGTGAAAAAGTATTAACAAATACTGCCAAAAGGAGACCTAGTTCTTTTGTGCAATATCGCACCATTACCTACAGACTTACGGCAGATCCTTCTGTGTGCTGCTAAGGAGCAGAAGGCAACACGATGAAACTCCCAGGCACTGTGGCATTTCAGCTGCCCAGAACTACTTACTTCAGTTTACTTTGAAGTTGTAGCTGTTTTTACAACAGCAATTGCCTCTGCCCAGTAGAATAACTGCACCCACTTATGCTGTTTCCAAAAGGAACATCATGCTAAGACAGGCAGGATAGGAACCACAGAGCAAATAATTATTGTAACTTCTGCCCAGCATAGCCCCCATTTCCTGAAAGACTGAGTTTGTTTTAGTGCATCTCCTTCCATCAGCCCTTTATTCTAAACATGAAATTCCCCAAGGAGCCTTGACTAAATACAGAAACAGATGGTGACACCAAAGAGACTGCCCTCACATCACTCCCCTCTCCCTCAATACCACACATTTCATTGATCAGTTGAAAGGATTAAATTGAGCAGAAAACTTCCAAGAGCTGCCAGGCAGCAGGGCCGCACTTCCATAGGAGAAGCAAGGGCAGCAAAGCAGAGGACAGCCCAGCAGAGCGCTGCAGAGCAGCGACCTGCCAGCTCTGGTGGGTCCCAGCTCCCACAGGCACCACAGATGATGGGAAAACCCCCGCTCTCCCAGCACAAGAGTAAAAATCCTTCAGTTTTCAAACTGGGATAGAGAAGGTCTCACCCACATCCAGACACAAAACAGTTTAACAAAATGAAGCAACAAGCAATCACTGATTTGGAGAGAACACCTTAAAAGACAGCTAAGGAACAGCAGTGATGATTTTGTGCAACCGCTTTCCATCAAATAAAGCTGGCTGAATATGGATAATACAGTTAACTTGAGCCCCTTATAATCAGAGTAACTCACCCCCTCCCAATTCTTCTTTTAACTAGGAGTTTATTAAGGCATTTGTTTTGTTTTTAAGTGGAGCAACAACAGCAGGTACTGAAAGAAAGAATAAAGTAGTAATGTACCAGAGTTCCTGTACCACGGGTAGGTCACTGGGATGTTAAATGAACTCTCAGAGACCAGCATCCTCATTCCTGTGGCAGTGACAGTCTGTCCATGAACTGGCCTTGCCACAAAGTGCATAGCAAAGCACAATCCTGAAAACTGATCCCATAACATGGGGTTATAATTTAGAAAATAAAGCTACTTGCATACCAAGAGTACTGTTTCATCAGTACTGCCTCACTCTCACACCACGCTGGCTTCCACTGTGGACAGTAAACTTTAAGATGTCATTTTTCTCTGTTCACATAACACCTAGCACTTTGGGGTCCTAGACTTGGAAATAAATAACACTTCCTGGTATCCATGATATCAAGAAATCAACTGAAGCCACAGATTTCTTTGGCCCTCTGTGCCTTTTTTAGCATGACTGATACCAGGAGTTCTCTCTTGCATTCACATGCCTGTATCTGCATCTCAGCTGATACAGCATTCTGCATCAGGAGGGAAAGGATAAGGGAGATCTTGTACACTGTACCCAGGGAAAGGGTGTAAAGGCAGACAAGCAGGGCACAACCCTGACTGCAAAAGCAAACCACCCATGCATTAAAGCAGAGTGCGTAGCTATCAGCGGGTGCACCATCCTCATCAGCTATCCAGCTACTGAAGGCAAAGCAAGCTCCAGAGGACAAGATGCAGAGTCTGTGGCACCTGGAGGTACCTTTACCTCTCCACAGCCTCCCAGCCCAGCAGGAGACATGTTCAGGGATTGACATGAGCAAGCCACTGCTCTGCAATTCTACCACACTTCAGAAACAAGTCATCATATCCTGCTCTCCTCTTACTTGTGTAGTCTGGACTACCCTTGAATCTTCATGTTTCCCCATGACCTCCTCTTTTCTGGAAATGGCTTCTTCCCAGGTGCAAGCAATAATGAGCTGCCCAGCTGTACAGGATTTGAGGAGACAGTTATCAGTGCTGTCTCTCTCTGACAGCACTCACCTGCCTCATTCCTCCTTGCACACAAACCTGCACTACTCCCAAGAGCAACATGCTTTGCAGGGTCTACAACCATGATGGGTACATCAGTTTTCCAGGAGTTACTCAGAGAGGAGAAGTGGTTTTGGTTGGAAGACACCTTCTAGTGTATGAAACATGCACACAATTGTCCACTCTGTTCCCATTATGGAAGGTTTTTGTGTCAAAAATCAAGTCAAAAAACTCTGTGGGTGCTCTAAGTACTGCACATATACATACCTTTGTCCTCCTGGCACACTGAGGCTGTTCAACGGGTATTAGGCATCCAAGCCTTGTGTTTTTCCTGGTGATGGATCCATATGCTCCTAGGCTTGGAAGCAGCATTGTGCTAAGCTAGCTCTCTTCCCAGCCTCAATGGACTTTGTGGTTGTAAACCACGCAGCAGAGATTGGGCTAGAAAGGCCCTTGCAATCCAGACAAAGACAGGATCAGGTTTCAATAAATGCACTTTTCAACAGATTGATCTAGATGATCATGAATAAGTGATAGGACAGATATAAAGAGACTTAGCTAATGGATACGAGAATGGTGGGGAGGGGGAGTCCCTGACACCCTAGACCCATATGGGA